CTGGGCTTACCACATGACCCAGCAATTATACTTTCGGGCATTTATCCTAGAGAAAAACTTATTTTCATGCAGAATTTATACACAAATGTTCAGCGCAGCCTTATTCGTACAGCCCAAAACTGGCTGTCATTGTTCTGACATTCGCTAGTACCCACTGACTGTCAAATGTCTTTCAGTGGGAGAATAGCTAAACAAATTGTGTTATATCCATACCATGGGATACTGCCCAGCAATTAAAAAGAGTATACTATTGATCCAACAAGTTGGATTAACCTCAAGGCTGATGCCAGCTTCACAAGGATACATGCTGTGTGATTCTATTTAGGTAGCATTTGTCAAGTAATAAAGATATGGAGAACAGAGTTAGGGGTTGCTGAAGATTAGGGGTGGGGAGGCTGGGGAAGAAGATGGGGATGGTGGGAAGAAGATGGTGATGGTATATTGTGGAGATCATATAGAGGAGTATCTTGATCACACACACACACACACACACACACACACAAGTGCAAGTACAACTGGTGAAATTTAAATAAGATCTTTACTGATGCTAATTTCTTGGTTTGTTATTTTATTGTAGTTGTGTAAGGCATTGACGTTGGGAATAAGGCTGGGGAAGAGTCCTTGGCATGTAACGGCATTTCTTTGCGACCTGCTGAGTCCATAATTATTTCAAAATAAAAAGTTTAAAAATTGTAATAGTAATTACTAAAAAGTATATACATAAGATATATAGCTTCTTAGCCAGAACAATAGGGGGAAGAAAAGAAAAAGAAAATTCAACCAATCCTACAATATTCAGGAAAAGAGAAAATAGAAAGCAAATAAAAAGCAAGATACCTACAAACACACATAAAAAATTGTATTCAAAATTAACAAAATGGACTAAACTTCCCATTTGACAGAAAGTCTTGGGTTTTTTATTCATTTATTTTCTATGTATAAGAGGCCTGACTAAAGACAGAAATTTTGAAAGCGATATGGAAAGCTGCAAATATCAAAAGAAAACAGCCACATTATATTAATATCCAATAAAACGCACTTTACAGCAAAAACTTAACTGAGATTTAAAAAGTCAATACATAATAATAAAAGTCAATTAACTGGAAAGATAAACCAGTGCTAAACTTGTAAACTCGTACAACTAACAGTATTGCCTTAAAATATGTAAAACAAAACTCAATATATTTAAAAGGAAAATTGGATAAATACATTTTTGTAGTAGATTTTTAATACTCCCCCTTGGCAATTGATAGACAAAGAAATCCAAAATTTAGTAAGAGTAGCAAAACCTTGAGCAATGAATTAATGAAAGTAGATAGATGAAGGGATGGATAGGAAGAGAGAGAGGGAGGGAGGGAGGAAGAAAGGACTTAGAATACATTAACCCAATAATTAAATACTTTCTTTTCAAGCAGATATGGAACACTTACAAAACATAACCATATTATGAGATCACAAAACAAATTTCAATTTACACCACATACTAGGTCAAAAAGCAAATGTTAATTTACACAGTATTTCTCTCATTACAACTCAATAAAATTAGAAATTAATTGAGAAAGTAAGTGATAACCAAAACCCCTTTGTTTAAAAATACTAAAAATCATGCCTCTGAATAATATAAGGCTCAGATAAAAATAAGATAAGTAGAAAATATTTAGCATTAAGTGTCAATGAAAATTCTACATACCAAAACTATGCCAGCGGCCAACATGATGTTCCCAGAGAAATATATATGGCCATACTTGCATATATTATTAGAAAGAGGAAAAGCTAATGAGTTCAGTTCAAATAAAGATTAGAAAAGCAAATTTGAGTAAACCAAATAAAGATAAATAAAAATAAATCTAGTAAGTAAATATATCAACTTCAGAAGAAGTTAACTCATCTCTGGGAAATACTACTAGCTACATTTGTAGTAGTTTATTTCTCTGGGCAAAAAACAAAGATGTAAACGCTTTTGTGTTTTTAAATTTATTTTATTTATTGTAACAGCTTTATTAAAATATTACATACCATACAATTCCTCATTTAAAGTGTATGATTCACTGGTTTTAGTATATTCACAGAGCTGTACTATCATCCCCACAATCGATTTTAGAACATTTTCATCACCTCAGAAAGGAACCACGGACCCTTTAGCTGTCTTCTCCAAGCTGTCCATTCTTCCCAGCCCTAAGCAACCAAGGATCCGCTTTCTGTCTCTGTAGATTTGCCTATTCTGGACCTTTTGTATAAATGGAGTCATAGGATATGTGGTCTTTTGTGACTAGATTTTTTTCACTTAGCGTAAATTTCTCAAGGCTTATTTAGGTTGTAGCATAACGTCAGTCCTTCATTTCTTTTTTTATTGAAGAATAATATTGTATGAATGTACTACATTTTGTTTACTCATTAATTGATGGACATTTGAGTCATTTGCGCTTTGGGCTATTGTGAATGATGCTGCTATGAATATTTGTGTGCAAGGTTTTGTGTGGACATTTGTTTTCACTTCTCTTGGATATGTACCTAGGAGTGGGATTGCTGAGTCAAATGGCAAGTCCATGCTTAACTTTTCGAGGACCTGCCAGACTGTTTCCAAAGCTTTCAACCATTTTAGATTTCCATCAGCAGTGGGTGAGGACTGTGGTTTATCTACATTCTTGTTAATACTAGTTGCTATCTCACTTTTTGATTTTAGCCATCTCATTCAGTATGAAGAGGTACATTACTGTGGTTTTGATTTTAATTCCCTGATAACTGATGATCTGGAACATCTTTTCATGTGCTTGTTAGACATTTGTCCTTGGAGAAATGTTTATTCAGATCCTTTGCCCATTTTTATTTGGGTTATTTGTCCTTTTAGTATTGAGTTGTAAGAGTTTTTTATGTATTATAGACAAGCCCCCTATTAGACATATGATTTACAGATATTTTCTACCATTTCATGGACTCTCTTTTCATTTGCTTAATAATGTCTTTTGAAATATGAACGTTTTTAATATTGATGAGGTCCAATTTTTTTGTTTGTTTGTTTATGTTTTTGATGTCTTATCTGTAAGACTCCAAGACCAAATCCAAAGTCATGAAGATTTACTCCTACATTTTCTTCTGAGAATTTTTTAGTTTTGCTTCTTACATTTAGGTCTTTGATCGATTTTGAATTAATTTTTGTATGTGGTGTGAGGTCAGCAGCTGTACCATTTTATATCCCCCACCAGCAAAGCACAAGGGTTTCAATTTCTGCACATCTTTACCAACACTTGTTATTTTCTGCTTCTTTTTTAAATTGTAGCCCTCCTAATAGGTGTGAAGTGAGAGCTCATTGTGGTTTTGATCAGCATTTCCCTAATTATTAGTACTGTTGAGTATCTTTTCATGTGCCTATTGATTGGCCATTTGTATATCTTCTTAGAAGAAAAGTTTATTCAGGTTCTTTGCCCATTTTTTAATTGGGTGGCTTAATTTTTGTTATTGAATAATAGGAATTCTTTATTCTGGATATCAATCTTTATCAGATATATGATTTGTAAATACTTTCTCCTATTACATGGGTTGCCTTTTCATTCTGTTAATAGTGTCCTTTGATACACAAAAGATTTTAATCTTGAAGCCCAACATATGTGATTTTTTCTTTTTCTGCCTGTGCTTTCAGTGTCATATCCAGGAAGTCATTGCCAAATCCTGCTACCAATTTCTAAACACTTGGCCTGGTGGCATTTAAACTACTCAGTGAATTATTTAAAGAATTTTGATGTCAGTTATTTCTATTTAACAATTTACTTTTATAATTATGGAAGATTTTCATAATTATTCATTCAATCCCAAACTTCATCTGAATCTCTATTTTCCTGATTGCTGCCAAATGCATTTAATTGTATAAATCAAAAGCATGGAAATGGCACATTGTATTATGATACAATTGTTCCCCATGAGGAATAGTGATCAAAATTATTGCCAACTGCCTTTATTAGGAAAAGAAAATTCTTAACTGATTAAAGACTATGGATATTCTATCTCAACTATTAAATGGGTTTTCAACTTTTTTGTTTCATTTTTTAAAAATACTGAATTTCACTTCAGCACATATAATAAAGTTCTAAAACTTCAAAGACACTTTGCATTCTGCAGAGGGTTCCTTATGGTTGTAATGTTCATTTGAAATTTAAATAACCCCTTGGAATTTAAAGCTAGCCAAAAGTTATGTACAGAGGAAGAAGAGAGAGAAAGATCCCTTAGATCATTGCTAATTTATGCTAGAAGATAGTATACCTTTTTATTTAGATAGGAGCTGCTAATGCATCTTTTGAAGTCATCAAATAATAGATGCACTCTCTATAGTAAATATCTTGGGCAATATGTAAGAACCATTTCTTTAAAGACAAGGTATTTTATTTTTATATATTTATTGATTCCAGAAAGAGAGGTTGGGGAGGGCGGGGGACGTGGTGAGAGAGAGAGTGAGAGAGTACTGATGTGAGAAACTGGGGGCTGAACCCGAAATTAGGAATGTGCTCTGACTGGGAATTAAGCCTGTGACCTTTCAGTTTATGGGACAACACTCCAACCAACTGAGCCACACTGGCCTGGCAGAACTAACTTTTTAACCTAAATAGTTCTTGTTTTAAACCGTTATACACTTTTCTAAGCAAGTGTTTTTCAAGCTCCTAATTTTGTATAGTAGATGATGTCAGAGACCCAATAGAAGCCTAAGACATGGTTCTCTTCCCTGGGAGAACTTGCCATCTATTTATCGAGCCTGATGATACACATGACAATATAAAGGAAGGAATGAGGGCTGCTCACTGGTTAGAGTCTAAGAAAGTAAAGATGGGCTAGTAATCCTAATAAAAATCATTATTCATATTCCAAACAACCTTCACAAATTGCTTCTAAGTAGATATTTGCTGAATGAATGAAAGAATGTATTAAAATTTTTTGTTGTTTGGGCTTTTTTCAGTAAATATCTTACAAGTGCTATTTAGTATACCTTTTAAAGAAAACACTTTATTTTTCAGATTCACCTTTTTGGAGTTTTTCTGGCCATTTTAGGAAATTTGGTAATCAGCATTTCCCTAAATATTCAGGTAAGAAGCGCCTTACTTTTCTAACTCAGTTTTTCTAATCCATGACTTTAGTGGGCCACAGGCACTTTTGCCTCCTTGGGCTCTTCCTCCATTAAAAGTATAATAATTATGTTATGCCCTCACTGATATAAAGACAAATATCATCCAGCTGTATTACAGTCATTTTTTTTTAATTCTGATTTTAAAAGAAATTAAGTGTCTTTGTGGGCCTCTTAGGCAAGGTGCCAGTGCTTATGAACTTGTACCACACTTAGAAAGATGCTCATAATCTTGGCATAAGCCGAGATTTTCTTTAATGTTCTGTGGATTTTTTCTATTATTTTCTTTAAAAGATTTGAAAACGAACCTAGAATTATACATACTTTTTATAAGGAAGTTCAGTTATCATAAAATCAGTAAGGAAGTAGGACTTTATTTAATGGCCCGTTTTTCAGAAATTTATGTTTAAAATACAAATACTCAAACTGGAATAAATAGGCCTCCCTCCAACCCACCGCGGGCTACCGAAGCATCCTGCCCTGCTGCGCTTATTGTGGTAGCTACTTTGACTCATAAATTTGAATCTCCTTTCAAAAAAGTCTTCCTTAGTGATTTATTGTCTTTATTTCATTGATGTTTGTTTTGGCATCTGGACTCTTTGATATTCTCATATAAGTGTGTTAGCAGTGGACTAGAAGGCCACTTAACTCCTTCACTTACACCTCATCTTGAGAGAGTATTGGTACTTGTTTTACAGAGTTGTTATGCAAATTAAGCAGCATTCATATGTGAGAAAACCCTTTTAACTGTAAAATGCTATGTCAATGGGAGTTATTTCTGCTATTAATAGGTTTGGAACAAAGGTAAAACCATAATAATTGATCTACGATGATCAGCAAATAAATTTTAAAGCCATGATGTAAACGTATAGGGCCAAGAACTTTAAAGCAAGTTTTAATCGGGTGGAAATAGTTTCTTATTTACATTCTGATTTACTTCTAGAAATATTCTCACCTTCGGTTGGCACAGCAAGAACACCCAAAGCCATTCTTCCAGAGCGCGCTGTGGCTGAGCGGGGTCGCACTGACGGCTGTGGGAGAGACAGGGAACTTCATGGCCTACGGATTCGCCCCTGTTACTCTGATCGCTCCGTTAGGCTGTATGTCCGTGGCAGGTGAGGCTTTTCCTCTGGTTTAACAAATGGAAATTTTAAAGAGATCAGGAAGTTGGTGAAAAACATACAACTTAAACGACACATACACAAAGAAGAAAGTCTATTCCCTGTTTTCTTAGCATGTTAACTTGGAACTATTACGCTCCTAATTTCAGTCATCCCGTGTAGTCCTGCCACATTAACCATGGATAAACTTGCATTTTGTGGTGATAATATGTAATATATAAAAGCCTAATTCCTAGTCTGAGTCTTAATAAGTTAACAGTAACAGCAAATGTTATATGGTGCTTTTTAATCATAACTGAAGCATGTAAAAGCATTTGTAATACAATTTATATTTAATTTATATGTTAAACTGATATTACATGTACTCAGATTCTTTGATGCCTGATCTTGACTGCATAGTTTAGCATCACTTTTACATTAAGAATTAAATATTTGTCATTCAATATTACTGTAAGAATGTGTAATTTTACAGTAATATCACAATTATCCTACTTTTAAAATTTATATGATTTACTAAGTACATTTAGAAAAGAGACTGTAAAATGTTGCTAAGAGACTTAAAAAAGCAAAAAATGACTGCTAAAAAGGAGAACAAATTCTCTAAACCTTGTTAAAATCAGCAAGATCTTTTTAGTTTTACTCTCTATTTGCTGCTATGGAAACAGCATGTTTCTAAATTTCTAGGAATTTGGAAACTTCATTGAAACAAACAAATTAACAGTTATTGTTTGGTAACAACTAGATCAAGCATAACATGTGCATATATATCCCAGTTTTAATATTTCCCCCAAAAAAGTATAAGATAATCTTAAAGAATGTATGGTTTAAACAGAAATAATGTGTATTCAATGAGAATTTCCTTTTGTTTTGCAAGTAATTTCCTTTTCTTAATCATTTAAAATGCATTCGTGATATACGATAATAAAATACTTAGCAAAGAAAACTTTATTAGCTTTCTAGAAATTGGTTGGTAAAATAGCCATATTGTTACCACTCTGAATAGGCTTACAATTTATGTGATCCTTTACTATTTTAAACATTCTGATAAAGTGAGCAATTTTGGTTTATCTTATATTTACTACACATACTATGTACCTAGACATTCTAGATTGTATCTTCTTTTCAAAATCTAAGAAATACAGATAAAAGATATAGTTATATTGTCAACTTGGGACCGCTGCAGGCCCCAATTGTTCTGAAAATGTTATATTATTCTTCATAATAACTATATTTAGAGCTGATCTTTAGTTTTGTTTCTTTTTCTGTTTTACGCCCAGTTTCCATGAAATAGCCAAAGGAAAAAAGCCCGTAGATACATCAAACAGTTATTTGGGAGAGGGCTGAGTGCACCACATTGTATCGAAATGAATGTTCCACTTGTCTGAGATTCCCAGTCCTGAAAAATTGTTTTTCTGGGGGTGGAGGGATGGGGGCGGGGGAGAGAAAGAGAGCGCTACTCTAACTAGCTCAAAGAAGAGGGGATTTATGGCTGGATTTATTATAGAGATCAGAGATTTCACAGGAATGAAATATAGCCAGGCCTTTTGGTACCTGAACTGAAAATTCAGAAGTTGCCAGAAATTTAGGGCCAGCTTTGATCCTTCTCACAGACCTTCCGTGAAACTACTCGTTTTGGCATGACTTGCTTGAATCTCTCAGTAACCGCAGGTAGCTGAAGGGTTCCCACCTTTCCCCAAGACGGTGTCCTGCCCTCCCTCAAGTGCCCTGTGGGGCCACTCCACCCACCTCAAACTTCGCGGCCACTGCCTCAACAGATGGGATTTTCTTAATGCTTCACATCATTTTTGGTGTGTGTGATCTTAGCCCCAATTAATGTTTCAACTTTAGAACATTTTTAGCAGCCTCCCTCTCTGCCCATTTAAAATAGTCAGAGAAGTAAATTATAGCCTCACACACAAATCATTTCCTACTTTACAGTCTTTGCAAGCAATAATATATGCTCATAAATGATATTTCCACAGAACTCCTGAGCTGAATTTAGGTTGCTGTGAAGAGCCGTGGGTGGGTTAGGGACTGCTAGTGATTGAGAATTTTCCCCAGAACAACCCCCACCATCCTGAGATTCTTTATAAAAACTCTAGAAAATTTAAAGCAAAGGGGAAAGTATTTTTAAAATGACATATCTTAAGGCTGTATTTACAGATGAGGCAGTAGAGTGTCCATACTTTTCTATGCTAGAACATTTTCCCTATTATTTCTTGGGAGCTTCAAGAAAGAAATCAAACCTCCCTTGAAAAGATAATGTCTGTTGCAATGTTGCATTGAGTTTTCATATTCTTTTTTGGCATTTCTCTTTTGTTGCTTTACAAATTTAAAAAAATAAATTATTTAAAACCTAGGATACTTTAGAAAGCTTAGCTCTGAAGTCCAAGTGAAGGATCCTTTTTTCCCCCTTCCTCCCTCTGGTCTGCTTCATACCAACACACTGTGCTCCTTTTTCCTTTTCCAGAAGTAAGGCGCTACTGTGCCGGTGATCATGTGTACTAATTAGCCTCACTTTACACAGACTGCTAACACGTCAGACCTGCTGTTTTTGTCTCACACAACAGAAATTCCTGTTCCCTTTGTACACGGCAATTAAACAGGTTTTGTTTTTGTTTTTGTTTTTAATTATGACTAGTATGTAAGAAGCACTATGGTAAGCATTATGGATCTTTCAATTTTCACTCTGCCCATATTCCCCCCTCAAGCCATCTTTTCTGCCCTTCCTGACCCTCTCTGTGTGTGGGTCCAGCTGTTCCTCGTGGACGGGTTCCCCTTGAGACGGCACTTCTCAAGCAGTAGTGCTGGTGCTTTCGCAGGGGTTCGGAGAAACAAAGAGTTCCGCAATCAAACGAGTTTCTGACACAGTAGATTTTAAAAGTTGTACAGGGTATGTAGTGTGGAGTCCTGGGGGCACTGTGTTAGGTCCAGGCACAGCGTCAGCCTATCATAGGCAGAGGCCAGGGTTCCCAAACCTACTGACCACGAGATGCTTTTATAGGCAGCCTCCCTAGAAACAGTAGTTCTGCTGAAGACCCTCTGGCGAATTCTTAAGACAATGCTCACAAGCAGCCACGGCACCCTAGAGACGATGCAGCCAGGATAGAAGACAACTCGCCTGGGCCGGGCAGTGGGGTTGGATACCGGACAGAATCCGGGGGTGCAGGGAGGCCAGGCCTGGGTTCCGCTTTTTGAGAGAGAGAGCGTCAGAGCCCTCGTGTCCTTGTGCCACCTTGTCCCTTTACTTTTCTTACTAAAGGTGTTTGTCTGTGAATAATAGGTCCAAAGTCTTATTCTGCTTAAAGTGCTGGTTATACTGGCAGCGTGGTTACTTCTAGATGTTCACTTGTATTTGTGTTTCCACAATGAAGAAAGCCTCGCGGGTGGTTTTGCAGCGTCCCCTCGCGCCCAGGCTGGAGACTCCCGCATCGGGCGCAGCCGCCGACCGGCGCGGCTCAGGCTCCGGGCCGCGCTGCGGGGAGCGCGCGCCTCAGTCCCGCCGCTGGGAAGCTCAGCAGCCTCAACAAAATGTTTACCCTGGCGTGTGCCTCCGGTGTCTAACCTGTAAAATGGGGCTAAAAGGAGCGCTTTCATCAGAAGTTGTCACGGGGCAGACGTGAGTGAACACTGACCCCTAAGAACAGGGTTGGCTCTGCAGTCCAGCGTTTGACCCGGCGGCAGCCCCAGCTCTTGCCGCAGGGAGTTATCGTCACCGTTATTGTTAGAAACAAACTACATCATTCCTTAGGATGGCGTTTCCTGCCATGCCCCCGAAGATGGCTGATGGTTAAATTCTCTGAAACAGATAAACCAGTTCAAGAAATGCTTTTTATGATTCTTCTCCATGCAGTGATTAATTTTCAGGGAGCTGAAAAGTAGGATCCTGGCCGCTCGTTTGTTCGGCTGTTAAGCAGTCATTACCCTTTGACTCCTCCACGGAGTCCCTACCAAAACATGTTGGAAAATACCAGAATTTCCAAACAACCTACCAAGACAAAATACATTTAGAAAACAGACCCAGGATCTTGTCAGAGGAAAAGTGCTAACAGCCTGAGGTGGGTGTGCCGCTTTGTTTTCTAGCTCCAGTTTTATGGAGCACTTCCGTTCACTTGCAGATTAACTTCAGAGAGGCTGAAGGGCAGATTTCTTTCTAACTGCAATTTAAGACTATATTTTCTGAAGAACAATTTATATACTATACCAGAAACCTAGTTTAAAAAAAGAAAGTTGGATATTCTGCAGAACTTGTAGTAAAACTGCAAACTTCTGCTAATACTGCCTGTCCCGGGTACACCCCCGCTTCCTCAGGAGGCCTTGCCTGCCCCCTAGACCACAGTCAGCAGGCTTCGTCTCTGTCCCCTGAGCCCCTCGGCAGGCCCTCCTCTCATCCAGGCAGTGCCTTTTTGCGAGTTAGAAAAAGGCAGCCTTGTATCTATGAGTCTGTTTCTATTTTGTTTGTCAGTTCAGTTTGTTCATTAGATTCCATATATGAGTGAAATTATATGGTACGTGTCTTTCTCTGACTGGCTGGTTTCGCTTAGCATAATGTTCTCCAGGTCCATCCATGCTGTCATAAAAGGTAAGGTTTCCCATTTTTGATGGCTGAGTAGTATTCCGTTGTATAAATGTAACACAGTTTTTTTATCCACTTGTCTAGAGATGAACACTTGGGATGCTTCCAAACCTTGGCCATTGTAAACAATGCTGCAATGATACAGAGAACAGACTGACAGCTGTCAGAGGGCAAGGGGGTTGGGGTCTGGGTGAAAAAGAAGAAGGGCTTAAGCAAAGAAAATAAAACCTCATAGACATAGACAACAGTATTGCCAGAGGGAAAGGGGGTCAGTTGGAGGTAGAATAGGAGGAAGGAGGGATAAATGGTGATAAGAGGAGACTTGACTTGGGGTGGTGAACACACAATACCATGTACAGGTGATGTATTATAGTTACACCTGAAACCTCTAAAATTTTCTTAACCAGCACTACCCCAA